TCCCTGGTTCCCCAAAAAAAAAAAAAAAAAAAAAAGAAAACAATTCTTTAAGCATAAATGCATTGGGTTATCTAATGTTTTGTTGTTTTTTATATAAAACAAGTTCTTGGCATTAAATATTAGAAGACAAAAACTTGTCAAAGGGGCTGGTGTTGATTTTATTTAAGAGTCACTTCTTTCTAACGTCAAGGATGTTTGGAAAATCAGAGGATTAGAATACTAAGCACACAGGAAGACAAATGTGATCAGAAAAAGATAAGTAACAGTGAGGGCAAAAACACAAGCAAAACAATAAGGACAATTCCAGGCTCTGGAAATCCTCTCTTGCTTGTTGATTTTGCAACTGATTAAAACAATGTGAAAATGACCGCTTTCAGGGAGGAAAATATCCCCAAATTGTTTCTAAATAAAAATATGTTCTGATATTCAAAATAAAAATATAGAAAAACAAGTATAGCTATGTCATTAGTTTTATTGTAAAAAAAAGCCCACTACATTTTCAAGGATCATGTGTTTTAAACTTGGAATAATTTACTTCTGTAAGCACAGCATGCATCTAATATAACTTTAATTAGCCTAAACTAATTGGATTTTAATTAGCCTTAACTAATTAAAATTAGATTACAGATGTGTTCCTTCCTGGGACAACACAAAGCACATCAGTTCTTTCGTAGATGATTTTCCTTTTATTTGTTTCTGAATTTTACATTTATTTTTTTCTTAGTGGATTGTAAGGATCTTTCTATCTCAGCTAAATTATGTTCTGGAAGAATGTGATGCATAAACAAAGAAGTAAACATTACCTTTGCTCTCTCAATACTTATTTTTTCTGAAGCATTTTAGTTTGTTGATCATGGCCACCCTTACCTTAGGTTGCTTGCAAAGGTAGCGACAAAGTTCTCCAATGTACTGAAACACAGTCACATTATATTTGTTGCAATCATTCCAAAATTGACTTGCTGAGAATTTCTTCTTTAGCACACAAGTGGCACCTAGGACAGAAGGCAAAAGGAGGCATGGGAGAAACACTTCAGGGCAATATTAACATAAAGGACGATGAGATCACTTTATTAAACATGTTGGTCACTTAATAAACTTTTATAATTAATCATCAATCATTTATATCAAATGTATTTAAATATGGTCTGGTAACTTTAAAATATTCATGCTGAAATTGTGCATTTTCACTGGAAACATGCTTTTTGCAATGTGCCAGATTAAAGTAATACTCAAAAGAAATATGAAAGTTAGAATTATTAAGGCATGAAATAAACATGTTTATTTTTAAAAGCTTAAAGCAGCCTCAATATATTTTGAAGCCCAGATTGAATAAAGCAAGTAAGATAGTACCAACAAAAAGTTTGATAACTATAGAGCCTAATTTTAACAATTGCTTTTATGTATTTTGTATGGGGTCTACAGGGTCTTCCAACACAGACTCATAGCGATCCTCCTGTCCTCAGCCTCCCAAGTGCTGGGATCATAGATGTGCACCGTCATGCCCAGTCTCAGTCTCCTTCTCACCACACCCCGGGACCGGGGCCAGCATGGCTCACTGGGGACTGAATGCTGATCATCACAGAGCCCCATATATATTTTTTAAATGGGATATAATTCCCATACTACATAAGTGAGATTTTAAAATGTCCACGTCAGTGCATCTCAGTACTGTCTCACAGTTGCAGCCATCACCACCCTACAATTGTATGTCCTTATAGTTGTAGAACTCTAAACCATTTCCATCATCCCAAAAGGTACCCCACACCCATTACTAGTCATTCCAATATCTCACTCTTTGCAACCATTAACATGCTTCCTGATTATAAATTTGTCTTTGGCAGACATTCCAATGAACCTGAAACCACACAATATGTGATACTTTTGTACAAAATAATAAAAAAGTAAAAAAAAAGTTTAAAAAAGGTAGAAACTGTACAGAACTTCACTATACAAGATAACAGAAATCCAATAATGGTCATTGTATTGCATATTAGTGTCTTCAAAATAGTTTTTTGCCTTATCAGATGCATAACATGCTCAACTGGTCCAAAAAAAAGTGATATTTTGTGTCAGGCTCCTTTCATTTAGTATAATTTTTTTTAAATTTATCTATGACACAGCATTATCAATACTTCACTACTTTTCATGCCTGAATAATATTCCACTGTTTGGATATATCATATTTTGTTTGTCAATTCATCCATCAATAAATATTTGGGCTTTTTCTATATTTTAGGTATCAAGAACAATGCTAATTCAATCATATTTAATCAAAGTTAAAATCTATTGTGTTTCAAAGGACACTATCCAAATGAAAAGATAACCCACAGATTTCTCATTCAAAAGTTCCTGTGTGACTGCATGTTTCTTCAGCTGTCTTGGCGTGTATATAAAAGTAGAATTGCTGGGTCATATGGCTAAGCTGGTTTATTTTTTGAGATGCTTCGGAGCTGCTTTCCACTGAGGCTGGCTTGTTTACATCAATGCCAACAATATATGAAGATTCTGATTTCTCTTTATGCATCCTTTTTTTCTTTTTTGTATTTAGGACAGGGTGGACAGGCTGGACAGGGTCTCACTACACAGAGCAGACTTGTAGTGATCCTCCCTCCTGTTTACAGCCTTCCAAGTGCTGGGATTACAGGTGCATGCTACCATGCCCAGTCTCAATTGCTGGGGTGCAGTTCCAGCACGGCAGACCAGGGGATCGAACCCCTGGCCCCTGCGTCTGCCTAAGCAGGCACTTTAATCTGCTGAGCTACTTGGCTGGCCTCTTCTCTTTATCCTTGCAATACTTATTTTTTGTTTTTGTTTATGAGGATTGCAGAGATATGAGGTGATATACTATATATCATTGTAGTTTTGATTTGTATTTCCTTAATAACTAGGAATGTGGACATTTTTAATTGTCTACTAGTCATTTGGGTTTCTTCAGAAGATAAATAGCTATGCAAATTCTTTGAGTACTTTCAAATTACTTTTTTTTTCCTTTTTATTGTTGAATTGTAGTAGTTGATTTATATAGTCTGGGCACTAGAGCCATATTAGATAATATGATTTATAAACAATTTCCCTATTCTGTGGTCATCTTTTCATTTTCATAGTGTCCTTGGAAGCACCATAGTTTTAATTTTGGCCAGCCAAAATTAAAGTATGTGTGACTTGAGGTTTAGTTATTTATCTGAGAAACACCTGACTCATTGTGAGTAGCATTTACTTTTTAATTTTCTTCTAAGAATTTTATACTTTTAACTCTTGCATTTAGGTCTTTGATAAATTTTTAAGTTAAATTTCATAAATGGTATAAATGTCCATGTTCATTTTCTATTTGTGGATATGAAATCATTCCAGTATCTTTGGTGAAAAAAGTACTCTTCATTCACTGACTACCACTTTTGACATCTTCATAATGATTTAAACACCATACAACACACTCATCCAGCAAAACATAACATGACATTGCATTACAATATACAAATCCTGTGTGCCAATTTAAAAATATTACAATGGGGAAAAAAACTGTTGACTATAAATGCATAGGTTTATTTCAAGATTCTAGAAGATAGAAAATTCTATTTTTTAAACAACAAAGTAATTTGTATAATGGCATGATAAAATACAAAGAATTCATGGTTTATTGCATTTACATGAACTTGCATATTTACTGAAGAGCTTTCATTAATGTGTGATTTTTGTGTGCCTCATATCTAAGTAGTAGGCTTTCATTTCAGTTACTACATAAGATCACATAAATGAGCTACAGTACTTGAAAGACTTTCACCTTAATTCTTTTCATTAAACACCCAATATTGGGAATTTTTAAAGCAAAACTAAATGTTTTGCTAATTGTAGTCTTCTTTGTATTCAACTCTGTATTCAGGTTTACAGGCATCCATATCTGTTTTAAGACAGACTTAGGTTTTGTTTGTCTGGGAATGTTTTATCCTTTCTTTATTTCTAAAGAATGGGCACAGTATTCTTGGATGACAGTTTCTTCATGGAGTTCTGTGAAAATCTCATGTCATTCTCTCCCAGTCTGAAGAGTTTCTACTGAAAAGTCTATTTTCAGTTGAATTTGGACACCATTATTAACAACATCTTGAGGTTTGAGATATCTCAAATATCCCAAAGCCATGTTGGCTGTTCTCTACAGTCTTCAGTATCTTCTCTTTAATCTTTGAAGGATTCATTATAAGTTTTCTTCAGGTAGACCAACTCTAGCTTTATTGTCTTTAGATATCTGCCTACTCCAGGGTGGAAATGTTTTCTGTCTGCTTGAGTGAGTTTTCTACCCTTCTATTCAGCATCCAGAATATTCATTGTTTATTACTGTTACAAACTTCCTGTAGGCTGTTTTGGTCTTGTTTTCCCTTTATCTCTTCTCTGTATATTTAAGTAGACTGTCTTCAACATCACTAATTCTTTTTTTCTCTGTTATCTATTCTGCTGGGGGTGGAACTTTACATGGTTTTCTATTTTACTATTTTTTAGACCAAAAGTTTAATTCTAAAAATTGCTTCTATTTCTTTAAGTTCTTTTGTTAGAAAACTGAAACAATTTTAAATTTTCTTTAGATTCATCAGTTCCCTTAAATGATATTATTAAATTCTGTGAACATTCTTCCATAGTAACTATTAATTATAAATGGTCAGTTTTTGGCACCTTATTTCAATTGTTAGGTGAAGTTATGCTTTCTTGAAAGGTCTTGATCTTTGTTGGTTGGCAACATCATTTGGGTCTTGGAGAGTTAGGTTTTTATTCTGGTCTTCCTAATTTGCTGTTTATTCCTGTCTTTCCCAAAATTCTGAGCAGACTGCTCATTTTCTCTGAATGTAATCTCTTCTATTATTTCACCACTGGATGGCATTCAGGTCCCGGTTAGCCAAGAAATTGCTATTGATAGATGTCACTGTTTCAGCACTAGAGGGTGATTCAAGCTCAGATTTGTTCTAAACTGACAGTTGGTGTGTTGTTTAGAATGAAACAGGGCAGTACCTGCACATGTAGATTCCACCCACAGGCCTCTACCTGGATTCAGGGTAAGCCCAGTCACTGGAAATCAGCCACTGGAGAATTCTGCTTCTCTCTGGGCAGAATTAATGGAGAGGGCTCCTACGCCATATCTGAGGCCATCAGTGCTACCATGCTGCTTTGCACTGTGAGCCCACAGCTCATCAAAACCAGTGTAGAATGAGGAAGAACCAGCTCTATGCTGCTGAGTGCCGTCTACTGCTGAAGCCTAATATTAACAGGGAGCAAAGAGCAAACAATACTTTAAGGAGACCTAGTGATTCTTGTAAATTCCAGCAAGCTGGGATACAAGGTCACAGATAATAGCCTTTCCTGGAGGAGCCCTTTTGTTCCTTCATGCCTTACCTGGGGTGTTACTGGCTGGCTAGTGTTGTGCGAATTTAGAGTTTGGTGAATGCCAGAAGGCAATATAGACAGGAGTTTGTTTTCACAAGGTTACTTATGCACATTCCTTAGTCTGCTTTTAGCCCTCAGCAAAAGTGAGAAGTTTTGGTGGCTTGGGACTCATTTAGAACAAGATTAATCTAGAGAGTCCTCTGCAGCTATGTTAATCCAGTCTTCCCATCATTTCTTTAGGGTCTGACTGATTTCATACAACAGTAAACTCATGACCTATAGCCTCTGCAACCAGCCATGGTGACGGTGGTCAGAATAAAAGTTCAATAAACTGAGTGTTGGGTATGTTCTAAACCTCGTCTTCAGGCTTGTCTGAGGATGAGAACTGTCAGGATCTACACAGTGTTGTGTTTTAGTAGCGCAGCACTAAGTTCAGGGCAAAGTCTTGAGCTTATAACCTTAGCAAATAGGGTGTTGCTCTAAACTATGCTGCTCAAGGCTGGTAGTGTTGGTGAAGCCAGTTCCTTTGGCCACCTGAATTAATGTTAAGCTGGATTGTGCCTGAGTCTCATTGCTGTAAGGACTTGCAAGGTCTCCCTAGCACATCAAGACCCATCCCAGAGATGGCTTAATCATGAGTCTGTCCCATGGCAGCATAGATCTACGTCTGGTTCCAGATGCTAGGTCTCACTGCAGTGAGCCTGACACTGAGCTCCATGCTTTAGTTCTCTGCTCCACAGTGGGTGACATCTTGCTCCCGGTTCTTTGGAGTTTTGAGGGCAGTTGGCAGAGGCATCAGCCACTTGGCTTAACACAGTTTCAGTGGCCTATTTGACAGCCACTAGCTTGACAATAGCACTGATGAGTCTTTCACTGAGAAGAGCATGGTAGTAGGTTTTGAGTCTAATGTCTGTATTAAGTGCCTCTCTCTTCCCAAACAGAACTTATCTTTTCATGCTGAGATGCTTGGAGTTGGGGAAAGAATGATGAAGGTGTCTCTTTTCTTCCTGCCCTCTACAATGTATCTTTTCCTTTTGTTAAACTAAAAACAGACATTACTGGGTTGTCACCTGATTTCTTGGCTCTGGTGAAGTTTGGTGTGCCTATGCGACCTGGCCCAGAGCATCCTAGTCAGCTGTCATCACAGTCTACCTCCAACAACCCAATTCTGACAATGTCTGTCATATGCATGTGTTCCAAAGGAAATTTTTATATCTTTCATCTTTACTCACTATGGATATTGATCTCTTTCTAAAATCTCACATGTTTGTCGGTGGAGTCATAAGCTTTACTAACTGACTTCTTGGATACTTAGGCAGATAGTTTTCATAACTAACTTTCACAAGTCCTTCTCTATGCTTACCTTAGGGCTGTGAATTTTCCCCTCCTCCCTTAAAGAGGTGGGGATCTACTTTCCAACACCCTGACTCATAAATCTGGGCTGCCCCCTGACTTGCTTTGATCAGTAGAATGCAAATGAAATAGCCTATGTGATTTTTTGAGACTTGGCCTAAACAGCTTATATAGTCACCATTTTGAAACACTCCTACTACCATTTAAATGATCTGGTGGAAAACCATTACAGGATAAACAACCACAAGAAAAGAGTGACCCAGTCCATAGCCAGACTCAACCATGTGGCTAGATTCCCAGGACTTTGGTCTCTCCACTTCAGAATAATGAAAATGTATTTTTGTAAAATGAAAATATGTTCTTTCAATAAACATTATGCTATAACTTTATAATATGCATGCAATCACTCTGAATTCTACATACAGATTCAAACCATAATGAACTCAAGGTCTAATGATTAGGCATTGTGAAAATTTATCAAAATGAAAATCAAAACGTACCCAATGCAACACATCCACAAATTCCAAGGAGAGCACCCGAGCTGTGATACAGAGGAAGAGTTATATAAATAACATCATCTTCAGTACAACCAAAAGCCCACAGTCCAGCAGAGCCCTTCAAAACCTGCAACTGACTAATTACTGCAGCTTTTGGTAGACCTGGAAGACAAGAACAGAAAAGAAAAAGGAATGAAAAGAGAATGTGTATGTACACACACACACACACACACACACACACACACACACACAGTGAAAAACAGGAGTTCTCTGAAGAAGTCATTTCTAAATTAAAAATGCTAAAGATTATTTGACCTTGGTGAAGCGGAATATCATGATATGGAGACACTGAATATTACAAATGGAAAGATATTAAAATTATCTTGTAATAGCTTGGAGCACAGCCATTTACCTCTAAGTTTTGGATCTGACCTAGCATTCTCATGAGTATTAGGTAAACCTCTCAGAATATATAATTAGGTTTACCCAATCCCTAACCTCCATAAACTCTATAGCTAAGTATATTTACTAACTTTTTTGTATGCTGCCTAGTTAGTTCTCTTACCAATGAATTTGTTGAATGTTTTGATTTGTTATCTTATTTGTTTTGTGGCTATTGAAGTTCATGTAAGCTCATCAATAAGGAAATGCATCATTCAGGGTAACTTGAATCCAAGTTCTCAGGCTCCAATAACATTTTTATTGATGATTTTTTAGGTTTTGAAAATAGAGTTGTTATTTGGTGCTCATCATATACCGATATTCATGTATAATAGAATGAAAAATTTCACTGCTGTCAACTCACAAGCATTTGAGACTAAAATACAATGTATATGCTATATGCTTTATAAAAGGGACCATACCAAGATGATTTGCTGCTGTAACTTAATTTCTAAAATGTAGGTTTATCCAGAAAGAGCGCATTATAAAAATCACATAAAATTGGAGATACTGTTATTTTCAAAGACCTATATGTGTTATAAAAATGAGGAAAAGGCCAAAATCTGAAATAGTATACTTTGAATGAAGCAGATTTCTACATCGATCTAAATTATACATGAAGTAGAAGTTTTCTAGAGAAGCTCCAATGTCAAGCAGTACTCCTCGCATATGAGCCGCGCACCTGTCATTGTCACCATGTTCTAGAAGATGATCACAGTTGGATGCCAGATTTCATAATAAATGCTGATGCTGTTCAATATGTTAATAACCCGAAGTAATTTTTCTTTTTCTTTCCTCTACCTTAACAGTGCCTGATTAGAATTCATAAGATTCCCATGTACATTTTACTATAAAGTTTATATGCATGTTTTGTGTATAAAACATTCGTATATTGCTTTTGTTACGTGGCATGTGTAAGACATGTGTCTTCTGCATTCCTATGCTCCATATTAAGCCAGTTCACATATACTTTAATAGTATATGATGCCTATGACACTGTCTTGATTATGGCTGAACTTTGCCAATTTTATGTTTCAACTTATTCTGAAACACAGCTTATCTATTCTTAATTATCTCTTTTCTACATTACAACACTTACTTGTACTGTAATCATACCTTGCTATCCCTTCACAGGGTCTTAACACCTTTGGCATGACTTCATGCAGAGCCCAGGGACAGAGCAGAGCTTAGGGGCACAGTGCCTGCTTAGCATTCACAAGCACAAGCCCTGTGTTTAATCTTTTTTTTAAGGTTTGGAATATTTTATTGCATGTAATAAACATGGTATACTATAATTAACATCATTTGTTCTGTATAATTAGCATTATAATCCAAGAATGAAAGAAAATATTGGGAGAAATAAAACTAATTTGGAAAAGAACTGTTGAGAAATTCATTGAATCTTTTTTGCCAAACAGAATAAATAGATGGGGAGGGGAAAGAGAGAGAGAGAGAGAGAGAGAGAGAGAGAGAGAGAGAGAGAGAGAGAGAGAGAGAGAGATTTGTTTATTAACAGGAAGACATATTTTGATATACATAAGATGAAAAGTTTCTTAGTTTTATCATTACCAAAATGCTTTGTGCTGCCTCTTGTCATTTTTTATCTTAATTTTATTGAGAAAGGAATAGCATAGAGACAGTTTTAAAACAGGTTAGTAGGACAGTTACAATTAATACATTGCATATTGTTGTCTTCATAGTACTTATTCATAGTACAAGATGCAGATATAATATCTTGTCTGAATACTACTAGTACAAATCTTTCTTCTCACTGAACTAAGACAAAGTAACTGTATATCCATTCTAACTATTTTGTATATACAGATATATATATATTTTTTCTTTTTCTTTCTTTAAAAATTTTATTGAGGAACAAATATCAATGAGACAGTTTCAAAGCTGATTAATAGGACAGTTTCAATAATTAATACATTGTACATTGTTATCTTCTTAGTGACTATCCACAGTGTAAGAAGCAGACAGGATATCCTGTCCAAACACTATTAGTACAAATCTTTCTTCTCATTGAATTAAGCAAAAGTAGCTGTATATCTATCCTATTTTGCATATACAAATACAAAATGGTCCTTCCTTTGTGTCCCCTTTTTTGTTTAATCCTGTCAGAGGTGAGTATTCTATTGGCATCTAAATACTATAGGTGCTTCAATTCATTGAAAAATAATTCAACACTGTCCAGCAGTCCATAACAGTAGTGGGTTATCCTCAGAAGTTATTGATTTGAGCTCATCATATTAATATGGCTTTACTTTATATACCTCATTTTTATACTTTTCTGCTGGATGGTTAAGACCAAGACAAAGCAAGACCTAAATAACAAGAAATGTAACTTTTGTATCTGAAAAGGTCAGTAAAGTACCCTCAGGATTTATCCTGTAACCCTGTACTGCTGTTTGCAGATCCTTTGTCAGTGTCAGCGATGTGGACGAGTCACGGCCATTGCTTGATCAATTTGCTCTCTATGAAAGCCTGGGAGAAGGTTTTCTCTCCATGTGACTTTCCTTAGGCACACTCTACATCATTGATCACATTTCTCTGTGGCTCCATAATCTCCTTGATTAGAAAGTTTGGGACACAACTGAGTTACAGGATATTACAGTACAAGTTCTTCTATGTCCTGAGTTCTCACTGACCTTGAATGGCTAGGGCCAAAATCTTGGCTGACCTTGCAGTCCTTCCTTTTCTCCAATGTTTGATCTGCTAACTTAGGTTGTTAACCTTCCAGAAAAGAAGCTTATTATTACCCTGCAACATATGCAGTTCTGTTTCCGCTGTCTAAATATCAAACATTTTAGGCATAACATGGAATAGGTATTTTCCATCAAGTATTGATATGTTGAACTTTAATTCCTTACAGAATATGAAATATAT